GAGAGAGAGAGAGAGAGAGAGAGAGAGAGAGAGAGAGAGAGAATTATTTGAAAAATAGTCTCAGAATCCCTGTGGAAGGTGAATTCCAGGGAACTGTCTGTTAGATTTCAGGGACACCTGTCATAAATTGTCTCTTTTTTAGCCTTCTTACTTCCCTCTACCCTTGAGCAAAGTAAGGTTAAATTTGGAGTCACACATTAATGGACAGGAGTAGATAAGAGACTTTCTCTACTAACTATCCCTAGAGATATGGTCCTCTCACTTCCCATCCTGTTATATGCACTTGCTCTGGCTCTGGTAACCAGAGTCCTCACAATCATACTGTTTGGGTTATATAGTTCAATGCTATGGATTTTCCACTGTATACTTCATCTATCATCTGAATCTGTACTAGACAATCATTGATTACTTAATTGATATTCAGATACTCATTCTCCTTCTTCTTGTTTTCTTATGAATACCCTACAATATTTTCTGAATATATTGTGATAGAACCATATGAAACTGCTACTTGAAATAAATAAGAAATGATTAAATATTGAGCTGAAAAGGTTAACCAATGGGTAAAAGGCTTGATGCCAAAACGTGAGGATCTGATTTAGAACCTCAGCACCCATATAAAAGCCAAGCATGATGGCATAAGCCTGTAACCCCAGAGTTGGGAACATGGGCAGCTGAATCCCTGGTGTTCAATGGCCAATCAGTCTAGTTGAAATGGTAATATCTAGATAAACTGGGATTCAAAAGACTAAGATGGAGAAGCAATTGAGGAAGACATCCTGGTATAAATATCTTGTCTCCATATGGGTCTGCAGAGGTAAGTGTACCTACATACACACAGGCACAAATGAATATAGAACATGTGAATGCACAAGCATGTACACACATGCACATGAGTGTACACATCACAATAATGATAATAACACTAATCACAAAACAAATAAAAATGACTAAATAGCATCAGTTGCATTTGGCTCTACCTGATCATAACCAAAGCATTGATTTCAATTGCTGGAAGGAAGCACATCACATTAGTTGAAGGAAGACAAACCATCATTGATTACTTAATTGATATTCATATACTCATTCTCTTTCTTTTTTAAAATAAATATTCAGTAATATGCTCTGAAAATATTTTTAAAATATAGCCAAATTAAACTGTTCTTTGGAGTAGACTTTATGAAATGAGTAAATATCAGGCTGGAAAGATGGCACAATGTTGAAAACTCACTGCATAGGTTAAGTGACATGGTGTGATGCGGGGGTGCCTCCAGCCAATGAGAGATAGCCAGCCCTTACTCTGGCATGAGGGGCATCCACCTAGATTTTGCTGTCTCATCCTCACTTGATTCCCTCAAACTCGAGCCAGCCAGGCTTTTCTCTGTCCTACAGGCTTCAAGGTACAGGCCCTGAGATAATTTTGGCCTAACAACTCCCCCTTTTGTTTTATATACCACCCCCTACCCCAGTCACCAAGCCAGAATGGTCCAAGAGAGAGAGAGAGAAAGAGAAAGAGAGAGAGAGAGAGAGAGAGAGAGAGAGAGAGAGAGAGAGAGAACGAGTAAGGGACACCCCTATCCAAAGTTTCAGTCTGGACACCCTCAAATTGATAGTTCATCTTTGGAGTGAGATGTATCGAGCTTGTCGTAATGTATTCAAAGTGCCATGAGTTGTACCTGTTGTATCTGGTTTTGGAATGCTTGTTGCAGCCTTTGGAGAATGCATGGGCCAAAAAGACAGATCAATAAACAAATAACCATCGGCCCAATCAGGGAAGAGATGAGTGTGGTAACCCATGGGGACCAATTAAATCAGGTCTCATAGGGGGATCCTTGACTTAAATGAATCACTATCTTTTTGTTAAAACTCATCTAGGGTTCTTGTAACTATCCCGGAATGGTAAGCATAGAAGCAACATTCTTTCTCAAGTGCCCTGCAAATTCTTCCCTGTTTCATAAACAGTAAGTCCAAGCCTCACTTATTTTGTAAGGTTACCCTTGCTAAGGAATCCAAACACTTTTGTAAATAACGTAGTGTAGTCTCTGTCTTTTCTAATTATGTCCCGCCCAGCCTGCTCACATCCCCAGGAAGAACAATAGTAATCAGGAGCCGCCCCACAGTTTCTAATAGTGGAGGCCATCCGGTTGCTTTCTGGTCATACATAAAAGGATGTCTACAGGAGGGCATGTCTCCTAAGGACAGGAGAACACCCAGGCTCATTGGAGTAAGAAGTCTGCGGTAGGGTGCACCCCCAAGAGCCTCCTCATTCAGGTCTGCCATCAATCCATGGAATCCAGTCTTCCATGTCCCTGCTCCCATGTGCCAAATGGCAGAGGTCAAATATCAGGTCAGGCCACCATGTCCAGGGTGTCGTCATCTGAGAAGTCTGGTTTAGGATTCCTCCAGTGCCAGCATTCGACAGGATCTACATTACCTTCTGTGGTTTGTGGAGGCTTGTTGCCTGGGTCTTGATCCCCATGAGAAGAGTTAACAAGATTACCACTGGGAGGACCATCTGAAATAGATAAACAGGCAACACTTTCCTCAAGGGTCAATCTCCCTTGGGCAGTGGTGATTTTTCTTTTCTTGTGTTTGAATTTAAGAGTTGTTCACCATAGTCTTTCTTTCTTTATTGGTCATCGTGATCTTCCCCATTGTCCTGAGGGGAGGGAAAAAAGTTACAAGCAAGTAGCCAAATAGGCGTTTCCCCTCTGTTTGGGAAGACACATCCATATCCTCGACCCTGTGTCAACAAGGGATCTGGGTCCCTCCATTGGTTAGTGAGAGGATCCTTCTACCTAACCTTAGGCAGGGCCTTGTTGGCAGGGATCCCCAATGTATCTGGAATCTATTTTGCTCATCTGATTTTTGAAAATTTAAAATATTGATGGTTAACAACACCTTTTACAGTTGTAGATGTGGGGGGAGACTTCTCCCCCTATTTGCTTTATAGGGACCGCTTTGAGATATTGGTGATATCTTTCAACAATTGCTTGACCCTGAGGGTTGTATGAGATCCCGGTGGTATGGGATATATTTCATTTCTGGAAGAATTCTTTTAATGTTTTATTTATAAAACAGGGTCTGTTGTCAGTCTTGACCTGTTCAGGTAGTCCCAACATAGCAAAACATTGTAAGAAGTGGCTTTTGTTGTGGGTTGCCTTTTCCCAAGTGGGTGGTAGCCCAGCATGCCTTAGCATATGTGACTATGGTCGCAAACATATATTTTAATTTTCCAAATGGAGAGTAATATGTTACATCTGTTTGCAAGACAATATTGGGTCCTAACCCTCTCGGGTTCACCCCCAGCGCTTGTAAAGGGGAGTGGAAAGAAACTGCTGTCAAGTCTTAAATGTATGAAAAATTCTCTTTAATTCTGTTGTGGGGATCTGGGAGTATAGGTATTTGAGTCCTCTCCAGTTGACATGAGTTTAAATCATGCATTTGGGTATCATTTTGTATGCGCAGAATTGAGACCTCTATGTGACAGTCCCCTGAAGCTGCAGCATCCACAGAAGCATTTCCTTGGGAAATGAGGCCAGGGACTTTTTGGTGTCCTCTGAGATGTTGAATAAATATGGGGCATTTTCTACCTTCTAAGAGGGATACAAGTTGTATTATCAAGGTAGAAATAGGATTAGCATCCAATCTGATATAGGCAAAGGGTAAGTGTGGCAGTAGGTTCACCACATAAGAGTTGTCTGAATAGAGATTGCAGGGTTCTAGGACCTCTCATAGGGTAATATATACAGCTATCATTGCCTTATACTGAGTGGATCCTCCACAAGGGAGAATTTTGGTAATCTTTGTCTTGGTACCCCCTGCAGGGAAAACTTCAAAGGCAGCCTCATTCCTCCCACCATCTGTGCAAACAGTGAATTCTTGGGGCACGGGCCTAGAAGAAAAGACTAAGGGGACTCTCCAGTGTAGTTCTTGATATAACTTACTAACTAACCGGGACTCCCCAAAGTAGGTGTTTAGTGTCCCCAGAAATCCCTCCAGGCTCAATCAAGAACAATGAATGGCTACCCATTCTAAATCCTTAATTTCAAATGGAATTATTAATTTAGAGAGATCTTTTCCATAATGTTGGAGGGATGTGTCCCTGACTTTTATAATCATATCAAGTATTTGATTGACTAGAGAGTACACTCTGGGAGTGCCCCCGAGGGTGGTGTTTACCCATTCTAGTGGTTGTGACTGCTGAACAATGGCAGCCAGCATGATCTTTTTCCCTAATAATATCCAGCCTTGGAATGAAATGTTAGGATTCTGTCTTGTCAAGTAAACCTGATGGAGCTCGTTGATCAATTCAGTGAGGGCCTGATGACCCTCAGGGGTAAGGAAATGATCTCATAAGTTTGTCTCCCTTTCAGGAGATCACATAACACATCTAGTCTCCCAGTCTATACAGGCAACCAGGGCCTTACCAGTTCATTTCTCCCAGTATCTTTTGTAACCCTAGTAAAGTGAGAAGCTCAGGCAGGATTAATTGGGGTCCATTTACTTTGGCTGAGTAAGTGTTAATTGGGATCCCAATATATGAAATGGGGGCACCTTTTGTATTTTGTTTGGGGCTACTTTAAAGCCATGCTGTTGGAGGATATCAACAATAGTGATTACCCGGGGAACTAGCCCTGATTCCTCCAAATGCCCAATTATTAGATCATCCATATAAACATATAAAAGGGTATTATCTTTGTCAAAATAAGGAGAGAGGATACTATACAAATGTTGTTGGCGAAAGGCTGGAGTATTGGGCTTTCCCTGTGGAAGAATAGTCTATTCATATCTCTTGTCAGGTCGAGAGCAGTTAACTGTAGGAATGAAAAAGGCGAACTTTTCACAATCCTCTTCATGAAGAGGAATTGAGAAGCAGTCCTTTAGATCAATTACAGTGAGGTGAAACTGGGAGGAGATTGCTGGGACCCAAGGTAAGCCCCTTAAAGAGGCCCCTACTAGCTCCATATGGGCATTGATTGCTCATAGGTCCTGTAATAGTCTCCAAGTCCCATTAGGCTTATGTATCACAAACACAGGGCTGTCCCAGGGGCTTATTGAGGGCCTTATATGCCCTTCCTTAAGCAGATTTCTGGTGATTTCCTTGAGCATCTTAAGTATAAGTCCAGGTAATGGCCACTGTTCCACCCATATCAGCTTACCAGGTGCCCACCTATTGGAGGAACCCTGGGGGCAGTGGTCTCTACTTTTGGGGGTCTGCCTGAATTATCAAGGTATTAACCTTGCTTAGTTTTATCATCATAAAAGGCTAGATGGTCAATGGTAATAACAGCATCCGTTTGTTCTAACAAATCTTATCCCAGGAGGTTTGCAGGCAACCCCAGGAGGATCAGAGGCCTGAACTTTCCTTTGTCTCCGTGTGACCCCAGGCAAGTGTATATTCATTTCCTCCTGGCAAGAATGGAGTCTCCTTATTTGTCCCATTCCCCTTTCCTGCTTTGTTCTTTCTAGGGAGGCTGGGTGCATAAGGAGATGGCCACTCCGCATCATAGACAATATCTACTTTCCTTTTTGTCTTTGCCTCTGCCTGCCATTTTCCTTCCCCCTGGGACCACTCTTTACTAAATGGCACCCATTTTTGATCTTCCCCTCATCTGTCTCTTTTTCTGCCATCCTTTTGGTTAATTGGTTACTTTCATATTCTTCAGACCTCTCCCGATCTTTTACCTTTTCCTGCTCCTTGCCTATCTCTCTTCTGCCCTCCTAGACAGTTGATTATTTTCAGATTCTTTAGACCTCTCACAGTCTCTGACATTATTCTTACCCACCTTAAGAATTGGGTCATTTTTGTGTGTTACCCATCGTGGGGTCCCACTCAACTTGAAAATCACTTTGCCCTGGGGTCAATCACCCCATGTTAGGTGCCAGTTGCTAGGCTTCCTTAGCCTCCTTATTCCCCAGGGAAAGGTGAGTGTACTATCTGCCCATTCCACAGCCCCACAGCGCAAGACAATCAGATCCATAGCACCACGATGCAGGACAATCAGATGTGATAGTCAAGTCAAAGAAGGAACTCAGTTTATTACTGTGAGTGTCAGCTTATATAGGTTAAGTGACATGGTGTGATGTGGGGGTACCTCCAGCTAATGAGAGACAGCTAAACCCTCCCTCTGGCTGGAAGAGCATCTACCTAGTCTTTGCTGTCTCATCCTCACTCAGTTCCCTCAAACATGAGCCAGGCTTTTCTCTGTCCTACAGGTCTTTAGGTACAGACCTTGAGATAATTTTGGCCCAACATCTGACCACTACAATTTGTAACTGAAGACTGAAGATAGTCACAGCTAAGAGGAATTACACTTGTAAAAGCTGTTTCACAAGGTTTGTGTTTTTTCTCTTCAGTCTTATTAGTTCTTTGGCAAGTTTTTACAATATATTTGAATCACATTAACTCCATTCCCTAATACCTCCCAGGTGGGATTACCTTATAATGGGACCACAGTGTTCTTATTAGACAATGTAAACTAACAAATAAAAAACCCAAAGCTCAGAAGGTGTCCTGCCTTTGCAGTTGTTTGACAGTGAGACTACATGGACCTCAAAATATTACAGCAATGGAAAAATCATTGCTATTGGCTACCCTCTAGAACTTAATGATAGGACCTTGTTGCTGGACATCACAGACCATGGAGAAATCAAGCATTCATCTGAAAGATTCATCCCTATTGGCTAGCTTCAGGGGTGCTGCAAGGTGCTATGTACACTACCAGAGGAGAGAAAGAATCTCCAGTTTTACTCAGCTATAATCCCTGTAAGTTGCAATAGTTACTGGTCCACCAAGCACACCCACATGTGCAATATTGGCACAGATGTTATGGGGATAAGCAACTACTTTCTAATTGGGTTTGAGGCCCACTCTGTAAGTATGAATTCCATAGCTGGTAGCATTTTTAGGGCCAAAAACCTGTGACCAGACATGCCATAGGTCCTAGGGGAGAACCAACTACTATTAATAAAGAACCCCCACCCCCAAAAGCCAAGTAAACTGATTTCAAAGCTATAGGAAATCAGCTGTTTGGGAATTGCAAAAGAAAAGCCAATAACTTGAACACAGACATCCAAGGGCTACAAAAAGAGACAACAGAACCTGCAATTTCAAAAAAATAAAATAGTATATCTAAGGGGAGAGCTAACTTCTCTGTTCTACCCCAATGAACTTCCTTACCTCTTCTCCATTCTTAAACAAAAACATCAGAATGAAGCATTTAATTAGCATTCTTTTGAACTATGATTATTAAGGGACTGGCCTGCAACCTGATTATGGCATGGCCAGAACTCAACATGCCACCTCTCTGGCATTAGATAAAGCCTAATCCAAATGTTTAAGGTCATCTAAATTCATATCTTTCACTTCTTCCTACAAATTTAATTCTTATTTATCTTTATAATCACTCAGCTAAAGGTTTTGGTTTCTATTGAGATGATATGACATATACCATGCACAAGAGAATGTAAATTCCTTTGGTAGATTTTTAATCAAGTATGTGAAATATGTCA